CTCTCGGCCGGCTGGTTGGGGGGCTCCCCACCTCGTTGTGGGGACCCCCCAGTCTGCCGGGTCGGGGGTCCGGGCGCTGGCGCCCCCAGTAGTCATGGTCTGCAACTCCTCCTGGTGTGGACGGCCCCAATGGTAGCGTTTCCCACAATCCCTCAGTGCCATGCCTCTTTTAGTCTCGTGGTGAGTGTGTGCGCGACTTCATTTGTTGTATGTGTATGCATGGAGGGTGGGAGGGACGGGTTTATTTTTTAAATGCTTTATTGTTTTTAAATGTTGTAAAGCACTTTGCGTTGTTGTTGCACATGAAAAGCGCTATACAAATCAAATTTGATTGATTGAACGAAGCGGCCAAATAACCACAAAAAAAAAACAAAATTACCACAAGCAGATGCAAAATCACAACAAAAAGTGGACAAATGAACACAAAAAGGTTAAATTACCACAAAAAGACAATAAATTCCTACAGACACACACACAAGTATGAATGAACACACATATAGAGATTGTGAGGAACACACACACACACGCACGGTGCGCACACAAAGAGACACTAATCCAGTCATGCAGAAAACCGCCTCTCTCTCTCTCCCTCCTCTCCCTCTCTATCTCCCTCCCTCTCTCTCTCTCTCTCTGTTCTCTGTATGGGTCTCAGTCTGCCGGCTGTTGTCGCTCTGCGCACACTGTTTTGCGCTCTCGCTCTCTCTCTCTCTCTCTTTACGCTTTTGCGCGGAGCTTGAATGAAATTTACTGACTTTTTTTTTTTTTTTTTTGTCTGGATACGCGCAGATGTGGGAAGCGACCGCAACACTCCGGGAACCTGAACGTGAGTTGGCTGCGTCTTTTACTACTGTCTGCTTTAAGTGTGAGGAAAACTGTCACCTGCTGCAGAAAACTAGAATCCAGCTCTGTAGGCTGCAGGAAGGCATCCTATCTATCTATCTATCTATCTATCTATCCATCTATCTGTCTGTGTTGTGCAGTGGTTGGGATTATTCCTGACAGTCGGATCATTAGGTCAGTATGTCAGTGTATTCACATCCCATAACGCTCAGTGACACATCGCCTCAGTGTTTGGATTAAACGCGCCACAGTAAGTGAGTCTAATGCTCTTACTGTACATAATAAACTGTCAGAGTGGGTTTGGAGAGATCAAAGAATAAAAAAAAAAATAAGTCAGAACATGCTGTTCATAAACATCCCCTCACTTTGAACTCCATCTGACATCACTTCCACTCAGCAGGCTCTTCTCCTTTTTCTTTTCTTTTTTCCCCCCTGCTCTCATTAACTTGTTGCAAAACCAAGTCAATTTGCATTAGCCAAAGGGTTGAGCTGGCAAGCCTTACAGTTACAGCACTTGTGTCTCGGCCTCGGCTCCTGGGGTATTGACTGCAGACAATTAATAAATCATGAGGCTGAACAATTAAATCAGCCGCTTGTGACGCCGAAGCTTTCGAGCTGGATGTTGGAAGTGTTCTTGTTTGGATGCAGCTCTTCTGAGCGTCGCTGGAAAGACTCGCTGGTGCCAGTTGAGACGTTGTGGCTCATTTGCCGCCTACGTCCGGTTGAAATTTTTTGCCATTTAGTCGTTCTGGATTGCAGTTTGTGGATCTTGCATCTCTACTTCTGGCTCACTTTTCAAACCTGTCAGTGAGCTGATCATGTCTCCCTGAGAGAGTGGTAGGTTGTGAGTTAGTGTGAATGTGTTTTTGTCATACTCAAGCAAAACTACAGTATTTTTATCTTTGATTGTTGTGTCACGGTTGGAAATTCGCTGCTCTTGAGGCTGCTAAAGATTTAAAAGATATGGGTTTAAGAGAAAGTTTGCAAACTGACACTAGCCATAGCCTCCTTTTTTGGATATATGTCGATGTTAGGAAGAAGCAAATGTATGGCAGATGTAAAAACACACAACTTTAAGGAGGACACATGGAATTTAACCAAATCAGATTACGACTTTGTGCTCTCTGGGATCCATGGAAGATGCTTTTCATGCTCTTAGGAATAAATCTCATTCAGTAGGTTCTTCTGAAAGCAACATGAGGAGAGCAAAGCTGACAGATTTGACCATTTCAACAATAAGCGAACATACGTTTTTGTTTTTTGCTCGTGTACCAAAAGTGACGTCATTGCCTTTGGTGTTTTTCGGTGATTGTTTCGTAACCTACTGTAGCTTGCACATGGAAAATGAACCAGCTGGAGCAGGTCTGTCTCTACGGGCGTCTCTGCGATCCGTCACTGTGGGAACACGGAGAGTCCCAGATGGCACAGAACTCTGCCATGAAACTGCCAAAACGGTCGCAAAAGACGAGACGTTCTGCAGAAAACTGCGGAAGGAATCGCGTCCGAGCGGCCTCTCCTGCCGCAGCTCCAGAGGTGTGGGCGGTGCAGCGACACCTATCATTTGGAAGGAGACTGCAGCGAGTAAAACGAGCCTCGAGCGCGGCACGTTGTTGCGCGGACGTCACGGTTGGCGTAAGCGATGACCGATGCGTCGAGCTAAAGCAGCGGCTGCAGGCAGAAAGAGACAGAGAGGCAGTGATCTCCAGGAAGGCATTGTGCTGCGCCGGGCTGCGGGGAAACGTTTCAGCAGACCTTAATGGTTCTTCTTAGTAGAAAGCCGACACAATGAATCCTCTGTTCCTCCTACAGGATTCCTGTTTTCTACTCCCAACAGTTATAATATTAAAATCAATAGAATCTCCTTTTCTTCTCTGTCTCGGTGCACGCCTCCTGCTCTATTTACACCCACTGAGACGACGGAGACAGTTTGTCCTACTCTCTCTTTTTTTATTTCATCTTTCCCTCGTTGCTGTTTTTCAGCTTTAGACATTTACTGAATCACTTCAAATACATTATAAGGCAATCTGGGACCGACAGAATCTCCGACTCTCCTCCTGTACTCTCCACATCATTGCATCATTTATGACACTGCAAGCAAGCCACCTTCTCCTCTTTCTCGACCCCCTCCTCCTCCTCCTCCTGCTGCTGCTCCATCGCTTATTGAACTATTTCTGACCTTGTTGGAAAGATAATCTGTGCAGTTTTAGCTCTGACCTTGGAGGCGGGAGGATGACTGTGGTTAGCTAAGAAGCCCAGCTTTACTTACCTGCCGGTTCCTTTTTTTTCCACTCTTCAACCAATCACGTCCGCACCACCTTCTCCTAATTCAGCCTCGACCCAGATAGACGTGCCTTTCTCCTCCTTGTTCTTCCTCAGAAAGTGGTGCGACCTTTAAAAGTGTGCGTTCGCCCTTGGGTGAAGTTTGGGAGGCAGACTGGTGGTGCACAAATGTGTCAGTGTAGGAACAAAGCACATCTTTTTTCAAGTTTTTTTAATAGTTGGCGTCAGCTTTCAGTCGATTAGACGCATTGGCATGAAGCTTAGTGTATCGTACATGCCAGCAAGTTTTTACTTGTTCTGTCACAATCTAATGTTGGATCTGAGAAAATTGGATTAGGAAAGGTGATGCAAGATGATACAAGAAGAGGACAATTAGAAAGCAAAGAGAAGACAAATTTTAAAGAGGTGAGACTGAAGTCGGGCAGCGGAGGGAGCGGGAGAAGAACCGGATGATGGATGCGGGGATGAGGACGGCGGGATAAAAAAAGAGCTTCAGAGGAGGGTGAATGTGAAAGAGATAGCAGCGATGGTGTAATTGCTCTCCAGAGGACTTCTGATAAGCAGCACTTAAGAGCCTGTGTGGTTAAGTAATCACTGTGATTAACGGCTACAGCGCAGAGAACGACAGTAACTGCTAGCCTGACCGGAGGATCGACACCCACTGCACTACATTATCGCATTATGCTGTAACACAACACTGCCGTCAGGTGAAGCCCTCCCCAGTTCCGTGCGATTTTGTGTGCGGAGTTTCTTCGTTAATTTGCTTTTATTGGGATTCCCACGAGGTGCAGCTTGGGCGTTGCTTTAAAAGGCAATATCAGGAGCTGCAAAATACTCTGAGAAATTAGAAGTCAGTGGATTCCTAATTAAATACAACATAAGGAGAAATGCACAAAGTTTTTTTCATCTTGCAACGTCATAAAACACCTGCTGCATATGTAAATTACCAAATACTAAACATGCATGACAGCTGGACTCATAAGACGTGAGACAAACCCTGTCACTGCTGAATCCATGTGTTTACCGATGCCTCAGGTTTCAGTCAGCGGTCAGGTTACAGGAGTTGGACAAAACCAATTTGACTTTTTGTTTAGTTTGTCTAGTTGAGTCTTTGTTTAGTCACCTTGTGTGTCTGTAGTTGCCTCCTCCCTTCCCCTCCTCTGTTATTGCCCTCATTATTCTTACCTGTGTCATGTCTGCCTAATTAGATCTCTGTGTGGATAGTCCTGCATCCTCCCCCGTCTTTTCCAGTTCATCTCCTTCGCTAAAACTCCTGCTTAGTCTCCAGTTTGACACCTTTTGGATTTGCCTACTTTATATCTACCTGCCTGATTCTACTCATCCGTTTCTACTTTTAGTTTTTATACCCTGTTTGCGTCCCTCCTGTTCACTCACCTTTTGTGCTTTTTTTTGTGTTCTATTTTCTCATTGGACCTTCTTGTTTTCCCTTAATTCTCCAGATATCTTGTGGTCGCGCCCCACTTTTTGTTAAGTATCTTTAGGTGGATTTAGATTAGTTTCCAATGACAAAAACATGAGTATTTGACTATAATGGAGCAGGAAAAAGCAAACTTTAATAAATGATTTGTGTATGAAGTTGCTAACATGTTCGCAAAAACAGAACATTTATGCAGTCGGGAGACACAAAGCAGCATTAACATTTATTTAAAATTGTGTTTTTGTCGACCTCATGAGTCCATAAAGTTAATGTGTAGCTGCAGTAAAACAGTTGAGCTAAAAATGCACAAAAAGCTCCAAATAATCAGCCGTAAATGGACGTATTAGAGACGCATGATTTGCATTTCAAAGAAGTTTAGTGCAGTTTGGTCGACGCTTCACTCTGACACCTACGTGAACGCTATTGTTCTGGTTGCAACAAAAGGAAACCATTAGAATCAGACGGTAACGTGAGTCTCTTCTAACCGTGCGGGACGACGGGGGACGAACAGATTTGGGCTGAGAAACGCGACCCTGCCGGCTCACAGCTCGCCTAATTGGATAATTGCTCCGGAGATGTGAGGTGTCACAATTACGCTTTCTTAATGAGAGGGATGACTCAGAGGCGAAGCGAAGGTGGCAGCGGTTTGAGTCACACCTCCACATCCACCCACTGACACACACACACACACACACACACACACACACACACACAGCGAGGACAGCTTAGCGCCGCAGTTAGCTGGAGGTCTCTGAGCGGAGTGTTGTTTTCCAACCGGCCTGTTTTTATCGTGGGTCGCTGCTTTTGTTTTCCCAGAGTCAAGAGCTCATTTGCATCAGCAGCAACGCCTCCTGCCAACCTATGCTTTGTTGGTTGTCATGGCGATGGGACAATTATCTGGTTTCCCCCCCCCTGAAAAGCTGCTACTTCACAGCAGATCAGAAACACCCGGTTCAGTCAGAACTGTTCTGCTTGGTTTTGAAACTCTGGACGGTTTTACTTCCTCATGCTGCTGAATTGTGTTGCTCTATTCTTGGAAGCCATTTTCATAGTTAAGTGGTTAAGTGACGTTAGCGATATTTGACTGCTCCGTCACTTCATTAACTGACTGTGATGAATTAGAAACAGCCAATTACGTCCTTATTACGAGTCAAATGGGGAGAAATTCTTGAATTAGCATCATTAGCTACTTAGCGCAAGAATTAATGCGAGTGTCGAGTTTTGTGTCACAGAATTTCAAAGCTGCAGAAACTTATTTGAAACGT